ATCTGTTCTGACAGATTTGGCTATCTGGGAATGCATCAAAAAGTTAAAGACTGTTTACAAATCTTTCTGCAAAAATATATTATAATAAGAAATCTAGAACAATTTAGAATTCCTCAAATTATCCCAGATAAAGTATGTTGTGTGAGTTACGTTCAAAACTAATTTTTCATCTAACATCTAATAACATTTAATAAAGACGTGTTATGTTCTAGTATACAGGGTGGCTTATTTTAATCAATCCACTCAAATATCTCAAAACGTATAACTTCCAGAAGAAAACTTTTCAGACAAACGTAGGGTTTTGAGTAATGTTTTACATAGCAATATCAGCATGACCTTAAATAGTGTTCAGGATTGCGCGGCGATCCGACATCGCAGCGCGACCTACCGTCGCCCCGGCTCGCGATTCGCGCCCCATCGTCTACGTCGGGTGCACCTTTATTGGACACCACATTATTGGACACCGCATTTTTTGACACCGCATTTAAATGAGTGAGACGCGTAGGGATCTTGCTAAAAGCACATACACACACACACACGCGCGCGCGCGGGGGGGTGCGAGGGGGCCTTCGGCCCCCCTCCCCGCACCCACCCCGCCGGTAGGAAGCGTGGACCACCTTGTAATGTTTGTGTTCAATAATGCAGCGTCGAAAAATGCGATGTCGCAAAATACGGTGTTTAATAATTCCTACCAGCGGGTTGGGTGCGGGGAGTGGGGCCGAAGGCCTCCCTCGCACCCTCCCGCGTGTGTATGTGCTTTTAGCAAGATCCCTACGCATCTTACTCATTTAAATGCGATATCGAAAAATGCGGTGTCCAATAATGTGGTGTCCAATAAAGGGCGCCCCGTCTACGTCACGAGCGCGAAAGCACTGTGCGGGCACATGTTTAGCGTATGACCGAGTTAAGAATGTTTTTTGCCGGCTCCCTCTTCGGTGATCGCGTCGCACAATTGTGCTCAACCAATTATCGTTAAGCCGCCTTGTCGCGCTCGCAGACACGAGTTTTCCGAGTCCAGTCTCGTCGGACGACAGGTGTAACGATCATCTCCGCTACGCAGCTCTGTAAAGCTGCCGAAAGTCTGCCTCGCTTCCGCGGGTGCCCGCGATCACGGCCTTGTGCGCGTGCCGGATCCCTCGGATTTCCGCTTGCAGCGTTATCGAGAATATTCGCCTTGATTTATCAGCGTAGCGCCAGACGCTCTCGCCGTTCGGCAACTCTACACGTTTCGCGATCGATCCTTCGAAGCGTTCCACGTGCTCACGCGCTGTATTTAATCGCGCGCCGCGTTGCGCTCACGCGCCTGCTTCTCCGGCATCGTTCACCATCGAACACAATCTTTCACGTATTATTTGTCCGCTCTTTCGAATGTGCGTGCCGATTTTATCTAATTGTGTGTGTATTAGGTGCGCGACATTGCGTTACGAACGCGGTGATTTCAACATCTTTGGCGGTTCGCGATCGCGAGAACCCCCCCCCCCCCTGCTCCGCGACAAGATCTCCGCCGCGCCAACCGAGCAGGAATTACAGGTTCAGAAGATTTCCGTCCGTGTGACCTTTACCGTCTGTTATACCGTAGTCAACCGTGCACTCGAGCGTGTTGTCTCATTCGTCGTTCGTTGTTAGATGAAAACAAAGTCGGTCTGGTTTTGAGTGTTATTAAACGAGCGTCTTTTTTGTTCGAGTGTTGTTCCGGGCCTTGTGGCCTCCACGTGGTGATCTGTGGCCTTTCTTCCCCTGGATCGGGCGTAGTCGAGAAAACGTACGCCTTCTCTTATTTCACTTTCTTTATTGCTTCTTACAATGTTGCAGCCTAGTATAACGGTTAGCCTCCTTTGTCGTGTGACGACGTGTGTCGTCGCTCGCCTCTCTAAATTATGTTAATTCTTCTTGCGGTACGCACGTACTCAGCGTAGCCGCTGCTCACACGACCGGGAGGGGTACAATTCGCACGAATCGGCGTAGGCGAATAGAGTGGGCAAATGCTGCGCGTGGAATCACGCGGTGATACGAATGTAGTACGAAACACGCTGAGGTATTATACAACGCCACCCCCCTTGAAAGAATGTCCTTTCAATCACCGATAAAGGGTATGGTAATATACTAAATGGTGAACTTAAATCTCAATCATGACCGCCGAACAATTCATTACTCTTAAATAGGGCGATTGTTTAATGTCTAGTCGGAAAAATGCGTGAATAAATGAGCTTAATCTAGCGGCAGTATTGCGAACTTGGACAGGGGTCGCGTAAGCGAACCCTTCGCTGTTCGAACGGTGGCGGTACGCGTGATGTTATCAGCACCGGGATGTAGTTCCTGTACTCGGCCCAGGAGCCACTGCAGAGGGGCCAAGCCCTGTTGTCTTATGAGCACTAGTTGGTCCAGTTTCAATTGCCTGCCCTTGTTGAGCTTCCACTTTGTCCGTTCTTGTAAGGAGTACAGGTATTCACCGCTCCACCTTTGCCAAAATTGCTGTCGCATTGCTCTACTCTCTTCCATCGCATTAGTAGGTTTTCGTTAACATCATATAGATCGGGTTGCGGAAAGCTGTTTAACGTTGTACCAACTAAGAAATGGCCAGGGCTGAGGTGCGCCAGGTCATTCGGGTCGGAACTTAGTTGCATAAGTGGACGTGAGTTCAATATTGCTTCCACCTCGCATAGCACCGTTTGCATCTGCTCGAAGGTCAAGTGGGCCCTACCTATTATCTGGGCCATGTGGTGCTTGGCCGATTTGACAGCAGCTTCCCACAGCCCGCCGAAGTGGGGTGCATTAGGAGGAATGAAACACCATGTTGTTTAGTGATCGCGAAGGAAATGCTGGATGTCTCCTTGCGCCTGATTGCTGTCTATGAGCTCGTAGAACTCCCTGATTTGCTTGTGCGCCCCGACAAAAGTGGGGGCGTATCCCGTTTGGACACGTAACGATTGGACACCGCTCGATTAGACACGCACTATTGGACACACATTATTGGACACCGAAATCATTGGACACCGCATTATTGGACACAAGCATTATTGGACACCGCATTATCGGACACAAGCATTATTGGACACCGCATTATTGGACACCGCATTATTGGACACTGCATTTTTGGACACCGCATTATTGGACACAAGCATTGCAAGTTTGAACACTGCATTTTCGGACAGCGCATTATTGGACACCGCATTATTGGACACCGCATTATTGGACACCGCATTATTGGACACCGCATTTTTGGACACCGCATTTTTGTACACCGCATTATTGAACACAAGCATTGCAAGATTGGACACTGCATTGGGGTTGTCCCGATTGCGCACATAACCGATCGGACACGGCAATATTTCTCGATCGGATACAGGCTCCATCGGACACAGGCCCGATCGGACACAGGCCCGATCGGACACAGGCCCGATCGGACACGGACTCGATCGGACACTCTAATGGGTTTTCAAGTATTTATAACATGAAATTTAAGGCAAACTGTGACTCTAGATGGGTCGGGATATTTATATATATTTAACCCGGGTTAACTGTTCTGTAAAGCAGATAATTTTCCATCATTTGTAAGTCCATACGCCCACAAGAATATTGTGCTTT